TTTTTTTCATGAAAACAATGTCTTTCTATCAGGGGTGAAGTTGAAAGATGTACCATATATCATTTTGAAAATCTCTGGTCAAATGTTTTGCCACGGTGTCTGTTACCTCAATTCTTTCCTTTTAGAAAACAGCATGTGTTGAAATAACTTTAATGACAATGGTGGTCAATAAAGGCAATGGTGTTTGTACCTCTGAAATCTGGAAAAAGAAAAGGTTGAAAACTATTGACTCATCCTTAAAGGCAAATCCAGATTTCATTAGTACAAACACCATTTCCTTTTCTTTAAGGCTCCAGAGGTACAAACACAATTTTCTTTTTGTGCCGGAATATCAAATTTAACCTGGATTTTTCAGTTGTCAGCTTTACTTTTATCCCCTCTACTTAAGGTCATTTGTTTTGTAGTGCTTCATTCAGTTGCTGTAGAACTCTTCCTGATTATTTCTAGGCATTTGCACTGACTTTAGGACGAGGAGAGGCTACGGGTTGTGTATGAGAGGAAGTGCAAGAGACTCAGAAGTTTAGATGACAGAGGAGCAGAATCTAGCAAGATTGATGCTACTCGGGCTCCAATAAGGAAGTTGCTGACTAAAATCGATATTTGTATAAAATCTGTTGATTCCATATCAAGCCGAATACATAAGTTGAGGGATGAAGAACTGCGGCCGCAACTCACCGGGTTAATTCACGGGTATCAAGATGCTTTGCTTCTCTGTTTATTTAAGATAAATCTTCTTTTCATTTTTTCAGAAGAGGGCTAATCATTCTGTTGTGTTGTTCTAGCTTACATGTCTGGCTGAGGGGAGTGGTTAATATTTAATAACTTGACCGACTATATTTGCATTTAATTGGTACATACTGCATTGTCCTTAATATTGTGTAAACACAAAATACAGTAAGATATAAATTTCACTGTACTTCTTTTCCCTCTGTGCAAATAAAACTTCCAAACCTCATTAGAATATTTCAAAAGGTGATCTTTTGTTACAGTTGAAACCTAGCATAATTTGTGGTCCTGGTTGGAGCATTATATTACTTTGTTGTGCATGAGGAAGATTAAAATGCTATACACAAACTTGGATTTGATATCTTATTAAACATTCTTCTTTTCCACTCATTTTCTGGGGAAAACTTTGGTGGGAATGACATCTACTCTGACTTTTACTTGCTTAGGTTCTAGTTTCATCTATTTGCTTTCCATCACTGAGTAGCTTTTTTATTTGCAGGTTGATAAGAATGTGGAGGTCCATGCTTAAATGCCACCAGAAACAATTCCAAGCAATAATGGAGAGCAAGGTCCGCTCTTTTAAAGCGAACATTGGTTTACAAAGAGATTCGGGTTTAAAAGCTACTCTGGAACTTGAGATGGAGCTTCTGAATTGGTCTACTCACTTTAATAATTGGGTTGGAACCCAAAAAGCTTATGTTGAGTCCTTAAATGGGTGGCTCTCAAGGTGCCTTCTCTATGAACCTGAAGAAACTGCTGATGGTTTTGCCCCTTTCTCTCCAAGCCGCATTGGAGCTCCACCAATTTTTGTAATATGCAATGACTGGTATCAAGCGGTTGTGAGAATATCAGAAAAGGAGGTGGCCAATGCCATGAATGATTTTGCATTAGGCCTACACCAGTTATGGGAGAGGCAAGATGAGGAGCAGCGCCAGAGGATTAAAGCAGAATACATGTCAAAGGATTTTGAGAAACGGCTGAGGACCTTGCGCATGGAGAGGGGAAAATTGGAGGATGACCAGGATGCATTGTCAGAAAAGACTGCAATATCCAAAGTCACTTCTGAAAGTGGAATCTCTAAATTAGATGACCTCAAGGTTGATTTGGATTCCATGAGGAAGAAACTAGAAGGGGAGAGAGCCAGACACAAGGAAGCCATCAAATCAGTGAACAAAGCTGCTTCGAGCAGTTTACAAGGAGGTTTAATCCCAATCTTTGAGTCTCTAGGCAATTTCACTTCAGAGGTTTTGAAAGCTCACGAGCAAGTTAGACTAGAAAATACTGGAAACCCGTGAGAAACGCCTGATCTGGGTTTGCAACGCCCCAGTGGATCATGCTTCGTTTTGTACAGTTGCCATGAATTCAACAGCGAGATCAGCAGAAAAACTGAGTTATTAGAATGTTAGGTGTAAGAGAATTGAACTCTTGATATGTTAACAACCTTGAGAAAGCTAAGGTTGCAAGGAAAGAGATATGCAGAGCTGATAGAATACTAGGGGAAGCCTAGGAGGTTGAGGTTGCTGGTCTGAAATTTTGGTTTAGGCATAAGTTATAACCCCTTTGAATAGATAGGTAGGAGTTTTTTTTGTACAGAAATTCGTTTATTGGTTGATTTGTTGTTAGTTGGAAGAGGTGTTTTAGGAGTAGGCCCTTTATAGCCAGCCAAGAAACTTCAAAATTTTGCTTTATTATTCTATTTAGTTTTCCTCATATACATTCATTATGAAACAGCAGCACGTTAAACATAGAATTGTCAAGAAAATTTAGTTCAGATATGAACATTTCAAGTGAATCATATGATAAAAGCAGCAAAAGATGAATCATATGATGGTTTGAATGACACATTCATTGAACTGCTCCATTTCCATGTATGTTACAAGAGTTTGGATGAGATTAAATGGGTATTTTCTACTGTTCATGAAATCTTATGGGTTACAAAAACATCATTGACAACATTACATATATACCATCAGTATAGAATTTAAAGTAAGAATCACAATATATAGACTTTTGAAGGTTTTAAAGTGGGATATGGAAAACTCTTTTACTCAATGTTCATAATCATACCATTTATTGTTCAGCTTCATAGACATTTTAGGGTTCACAGCAGTTATGGCTCCCTGCCAAACCTTTAGACTAGCTGGCTAACTTATTCCAAAACCTTTAAGATTAGTAATATTCTAATTCTCATAAATTATGAATCAAAATTCATCCAATGGTGTTGAAATTTTAAAATATAAAATAAATATTAGTTAAATTGAATGAGTAAATTTTAAATCTTTTCAATTTAATTTAAACTCTTCTAACTATATCTATATATATATATATATTATATAAAAACCCTCTGTCTAACTTATGAACTTTTTAAAACTGTAAATTAAAATTAAGCAGAATCTTTTAAAATAAAAATATATAATTTGAATATAAATACAAAAAAATATATATACAATCCAAATATAAATTATAATCTCTTATTCTTATATAAAAAAAAGATATATCATCTATGTAATTAAGAAATTACTAATTTATATTACCCATGTTGGAAAAAGAATACTTACACTACATATATATATAGTCTTGGTCAAGCTGTCCATATATAGGAGGAAAAAAAAAAAGTCTTGGTCAAGCTGCTTTACCTAATTATATATATATATATATATATATATATATATATATTTGATAATAATACTTTTTAAAATATTATGAAAATATACTCTTGTCTGTTTCCAAAAAATTAATAAAATTCATTAAATATATAATTTATGCTGTCCTGAAATACTTTAATTACGTCATAAATCAGTCCGAATTTTCTTCTGGGTCAAAATAATTAACATTTATTTTATTAACCATTTTAAAAAATAATTAATGAATCCATATTAAGTATTATGATCTTAAATTAAATTGCAAAATAAAAAATAATTTTTTTAAGGAAGAAAATGAAAGTTTAGGAGTCGGTGACGGAAATCCAAGATGCAATTAATTAGTGACGTAATTAAATTGTATCCGTTAACGTTAAATAACCCAGACCGTTTATAAAAATGAACAACAAGGGAAAAAAAAATTATGGGCGTCAAAACCCTTTGACTATTCGCCAAGGTCAATCCATAATTACCTCAAAATAAAAACCAATAAGAAACCGCCACGTGTAAAAATGATGACGTGGCGAGAAACCATTTGTGGGAGCACGGTACCTATAGTTACTGCTGTGTACTGTATCGTTTTTTTTTTTTTTTCCCCCCCCTAATTGATTGGCATGATCAACAAAATCTCAATTGATATACTTACCATCTGCCGTTTACGTTTCCAAATTTACAGTCTTGTGACGAGACTACACCAATGAGAATCGTCCACGTGGAATTCAAACCACAGACGGAGCGAGTAGAGTGTTATTTTCAGACTCGAGAGAGTAGAGAAGTAAAAAATATATCTCGGTGGCTCACGTGTTAGAACCATACTTGTCTCGTTCTCTCTCCACCAGATCATCACACCATATAAACCCAAGACTATCCAGACATCCAAAAGCGCACAACAATCGAGACAAAGGTAGCGAAGGGGCGGTGATTCGGAGAAAAAAGAGAACCGAAAGGCGAGAGATCGAGGGGGGGTGATGATGGGGACTAGGGCTTCGATTTGGTTCTCTCTGTTCGTTTTTTCCCTTCTTACATCCTCCATCTGCAGTGAGGAAAATGAGTCGAAGGAATTTGTCTTGACGTTGGATCGCTCGAACTTTACTGATACTGTCAGTAAACACAAGTTCATAGTCGTCGAGTTCTACGCTCCTTGGTATAAAAAGCTCGTTCGCTCTTTTTCTATGTTTCCTATTTTCTGTTCATTTGATTGTTTTCTTTTTGTTGTTTGAATTTGTTCGAATTTCGTGTTTGGTTCACTGTGGATCTCAGTTTCTATGGATTTTTCCTTTTGTTTTTGTTACATGTTAATGTTCGTGATATTCTCAGTATTAGGTGTTTGAATTTCTAGAGATATCGAAATGAATCTGATCGAGTTTACATGCATGGAGTTGTTTTTTTATTTTTTATTTTTGACTTTGTTTCCGGTTTTAATCGTTTGGTTTAGAGTCGAGAAATTGGTGATTGTTATGTTTGTTAACTTCATAAATATATATGACATTTTTTTTATAATGGTATTGCTCTGGCAGCGGCAAAAAATTGAGTTAACGCTGGTCTATTTTCATGCGTCGAGAGATTTTGTTTTACTTTTTTATTTGAAAATGGCAACTTAAAATCTAGACCTGAGACTTTAGAATTGTTGTGTTCTATCCTTTTTTTGTCATTTTTTCAAAAAGTAGCAAAAGAATTAAAGGCTGTGACTGATTTTGTTTCTTTAACTGGAATATCTTTTAAATTTTGGCTGAAGTTGGTGATACGATTAGAAATTCATGACGAGTTGTTTATAAATGTTACTAGGTTGCGTTGAATATTACATAGGTCGAATTGATGCTTAAATTTCAAATGGCTTCTGACTTTTGTATGTCTGGGATTCTAGTCTGGTATAATGTGCCTCCAACTGTTTTTAATAATTCTGTTGATTTTCTGTTTCTAATGACAAGTGACATGCTTCAGAGCCTCAAAATTTTTGTTTTGCCTGTAATGGTTCTGGTTTAAGAATAACATTCTTAAGGTTCCTCATATTTTGCATGCAAAGCCTGTAAATGAAGCTGTAAGAATAGCAATAATAGTAACTGCTTGTCTATATTCTATCTGGGTTCTTCTCAATAAAGTTTTTTCCCTTATAACTTGCTCTTGTTTATCTCAAAAAAAAAAATTATATATATATATATATATATTACATATATAACTTGCTTCTTCCATTTCATGGTTAATGTTTATTTTGTTATGTTTCAGGTGTGGTCATTGTAAAAGTCTTGCCCCAGAGGTAGTTATACCTTCTTATCTCAAATCCTATCTAAACTTTTGGCATATGCTTTGATGTTGATGAGTTATGCATGTACTCAGTTAGCTGATGGTTATATATATATTTTTCTGGCAGTATGAGAAAGCTGCATCTATCTTGAGTAGCCATGACCCTCCAATTGTTCTAGCTAAAGTTGATGCCAGTAATGAAACAAACAGAGAGCTGGCAAATGAGTTTGAAATTAAGGGTTTCCCTACAATCAAAATTCTAAGAGATGGAGGCAAAGCTGCTCAAGAATACAAAGGTCCGCGTGAAGCAGAGGGTATTGTCACTTATTTGCAGAAGCAAAGTGGCCCGGCATCATTGGAAATTAAGTCTGTGGAAGATGCGAGTAACTTTGTTGGTGAAAAGAAGATTGTTGTTGTAGGTGTTCCATAGTACAATTCCCTTTTTAGGAATGCGTAATAATTCTTTTCTGGTCTTCTTGCATCTACTCTTTTGTGCAGTTTATTATTATAAATATTTCATGCTTGTCTTTGTAGGTTGGGGTGTTCCCAAAGTTCTCTGGGGAGGAGTTTGATAATTACACGGCTCTTGCAGAGAAACTGCGTTCTGACTATGAGTTTGGCCATACTTTGGATGCCAAATATCTTCCACGTGGTGAAACTTCAGTGACTGGGCCTGTTGTTAGATTGTTTAAGCCTTTTGATGAACTATATGTCGACTCTAAGGTAACATGTAGTTATCATTTAATTTAAATTTTATCTGCATCATAATCATGTAGAATCAACTATACTAAGCTCGATATTTTACAGGATTTTGAAGTGGATGCTTTAGGGAAGTTTGTTGAAGAATCTAGCATTCCACTTGTAACCATCTTTGATAATGATCCAAGCAACCACCCTTTTGTTATCAAATTCTTTAATAATCCCAATGCAAAGGTAAACTAAGTTTGGAATTTATTTTTTTTAATGAATTTAATCTACTTATTTTGCTGGTAAATTGTTAGACGCGATAACTAGTTGGTGTTTCATTCAATAATCTTTATCTTATCAGTTGCTCAGATTATATATCAATTTTCTGTGTCTGGCAGCTGATCTTTCTTTTACCCCATGCTAACATTTTATATATTGCTCCACATGAACTCAGTTTATGAAGCTAAAAGAGGAACTTTACTGAATAAGCTTCAAAAATGCGTAATCTAACTCTTTCAAAATCTATAAATTTCAATTTACTTTTTCCAATTCATAATGGGAAGTAGTGTCTTCTGGATCTAAGATGTCTCAACTTCAAGTTTTTATTAATGAGTCACTTCTAAAAGATTCATCTGTTCCCAATGTTGCCCCTGTGCAATTCTCTTGTTAGAATACTGTGAGATTGAAAATTATTTCTGCAACCCCAGGAGGGGCTGGTTATCACATTGATACTCTTTTTCATTTTTCTGCATCTGTATCGTTTTATGAAACATATCTTAATTAAATTTTGATGTCTGTTTGGAGAGCATCCTGTCATCAACTTTGTGTCCAGATTTCGATTTTCTGCATTTGTACGTTTTATGAAACAGATCTTAATTAAATTTGATGTCTGCCTGGAGAGCATCGTGTCATCAACTTTGTGTCCAGATTTCTGATTTCAGTCACCTCAGGCTCCTAACAGATGTTCTTGATTCTAGGCAATGCTGTTCATGAACTTCAGTGGTGAAACAGCTGATTCATTCAGATCAAAATATGGAGAGGTTGCTGAACATTACAAGGGAGAAGCCATTAGCTTCTTGTTGGGAGATCTTGACAGCAGCCAAGGTGCCTTCCAGGTTAGTATATGTTTGTTTTCCCATCCACTTCTTTTGCCACACTACACATTTGGACATACTAATATCTTGAATGTTGGGTTGTCTTGAGTGACAGTATTTTGGGCTCAAAGACGATCAGGTACCTCTCATACTCATCCAGACCACTGATGGAACAAAATATTTGAAGCCTAATTTGGAGGTTGATGGCATCGCTTCATGGTTGAAGGATTATATGGTGATTGTATTAACATAATCCACCTGAGATTTTCATTATTTTTAAATATAGCATATGTACAACCAACATTCACCATGTTGGGATTCTGCATGTACTTATTTTTTTTTCTGAAAGCATATTCCTGCAGGATGGAAAAGTTCCTCCATACAGACAATCTGAACCTATTCCTGAAGAAAACAAGGAGCCTGTGAAAGTGGTTGTTGGTGACAGCCTTGAGGACATGGTTCTAAAATCAGAGAAAAATGGTGCGTATATCCAGAAGTTCAGCTACTCTTTAAACTTTGAATATTATTTTAGCAAGCTATATTAAGGCACATGCATATTTTTGTTGATTGTGGGAGGGAGATGCACGTGCTCATAGATTGGTCTTATGGGAAAAGTGTATGCTTATTAAAAATGGCTTGTTTATTTGAGTCCTATTGGAAATGTTTATGTGATGGCAAATGATCGTGGATTATTATTAAAGCACATTTTTCTTGTGAATCTGGTTGACACTTGATAATTGTAAAGTTATTTGATTAGATAATTTTACATGGTTGAGTGTCTTTTATATTTTATTTTATCTCTAATATTTTTAGTTAACAATGATAATTTTCTAACTTTAATTAATGTCAATGCAAATGTAGTATCCCTGTCAGTGAAAACCAAAGTGAAGCAGAAAATCTAGACTTGTTTCATATGTCAATGATTTCTCATAATTGAAACCCTATGTTCTTGCAACTTGTCTTTCGATTTTAAAGTCATGGATTTTGATTCTTTTCTTCTGCAGTATTGCTCGAGTTTTATGCTCCTTGGTGTGGACACTGCAAATCATTGGCTCCCATCTTGGATGAAGTTGCCATTTCTTTTGAGAATGATGCTGACGTTGTTATTGCGAAATTTGTAAGTATTATTGTTCTTAATAGAGATTCTATTGCTTGTTACTTGATCTGAAGTAATTTCACTGATTTATGTGGATATTCGTTAATAAATATCAGTACATTGGTACTTATGGGGGAAAAAAAAAAGAAAAAGACCCAAGAAATATGAAAACTTAATTGTGTAGAAATTGTGAGAAATGTTACTAAGGCAGAGCAATGTGCTTGGCTACCTTTTTCTAGGATGCAACGGCAAATGATTATCCTACTGGGACCTTCAATGTCGAAGGTTATCCAACCATGTACTTCAAATCAGCAAGTGGAAAGATAGTGGCCTATGAAGGGGATAGGACTAAAGAAGCGATTATTGACTTCATTGAAAAGAACAGGGACAAAGCTGCTGCTCCTCAGCAGGAGCTCGCGAAAGATGAGCTCTAAAAATAGGTAAATTTAGCTAGTTATGATTTTGCAATTGTGTA